GGGGGGGGGGGGGGGGGGGGGGAAGAGCCATCCATGAGCTAACATTATGTATATTGTATTTTTAATTAAGTGAAAAAGCATATTGGAAATTAGTTGTAACGTAATGTAAAGCTCTGTAAAGGTTTTCACTCTGGAATGATTCAGGGAGTCGTAGTTAGAATGATTCGTGTTTGGCACAAACATAGCTCATCATTTTATAAATGCTTGTACAGTCCATAAAAAGGGTAGGTTTTAATTTACATGTAATTAATATTGGCATTACTTACAAGGAGCCAAAGGGTCAGCTAACTTAGAAACACTAAAAAGGTTCTCCTGCTGATGTAGGCACCCCTTGTGAATTTATCAGACTACCAGGAAGGCACTTCCAGAACTCAGTTGCCTAAGAACTATTTAAGCAGGCCAGCTAATACCCATTTGTTTTTACGTGAGATTTTATGCAGTAATATTAGCTGAAAATCTAGACCGTGGTTTTTTTTTAATAAAGCAGCATTTAAGGTCAAGATGTACTGTAGTTCAAATATGAGTGTATTTGATAAGAGCCGACACAATGCTGTGACCCATTGAATGCCTCGCATTAAACTAACGCAGCCAATCATGTCTTTAATTGGATCTTGGTATCTTTTTGTTCTCCCTTTTAGAAGCATGGAGGGAAATATTTCCTTGTCAGTTTTGTCTGTGTCTTACATTTGGTAAATGACTTCTTGTTTTAAGTTATATTAGCATGAAGCAAATGAAACCTTGCATTTTCTTGTTTGAAAACCTCAGCAGTTATTAGTACAGGCCCAGCAACAATATGAGCAAAGTCTTGGGCCAATGGAACTACTTGCATGAGTAAGAACTTGTTAAAATAAGAAAAGAGGATCACAATCTGGCCCTCGATTACAGTGCTGCTGCTTTTCTGGTAGATGAAATGTTAACTTATGAATTGGGTGACACAAAATACTTTTAAAGAGACACTCCCTTCCACAAAATAAAATAGGTAGTCAGGAACCTGATGACACTTCCCAGGCACATTATTACGTGTCATTATTTCAACAAGAGTGAATTTTGGACCTCTTGATTAGGATGAGGGTGGTGGAAGGTCATCTTTGCTTTTTAAAACTTGGGTTTTCTATACAATGGCTGCTGACAGATATGGGACCCCTCCCCCTCACAAAAACAAACAAACAAACAAAAAAAACAAACAAACCAAAAAACCCATGCTTTACTGGAAGAAACAGTGCGTTAGTTCAGCCCAACTCTGCACCATCTGTATCAATTGCACAAAGCAGTAGAGCTTTTTGGTGATTTTATCTAAAGCTGATTCAATCACCAAAAATGCCCCACTGAAGCACCCGATGTATACAAATGTTGGGCGAGCCGGGTCAAACTAATGTGATGCCTCTTCTGGGCATGCACTTAGTGCAGGGGCATGCCAAATTTAAAGTAAAGCACCACTTATTTATTCTTTTGGTGGAGGGGTTACATGTATAAGCAGTCAAAGTTTAACATCAATAAAGAAAATTGAAATAACTTATTTACTAAAGTATCTATTGACTTACTAGCATCTTACCCAAGGTAGTGGAAATGACAATTTTTTTTATTTTATTTTATTTTTTAAATATGTTGTTCCAGGTTGGAATTGTTGGAAGAACAGGAGCTGGCAAATCAACACTCACAAATTGCTTATTTAGAATTCTAGAGAGAGCTGGGGGCAAAATAATTATAGATGGAATTGACATATCAACTATTGGACTCCATGATCTGCGCAGCAATTTGAACATTATTCCACAGGTAAAAGCTATTTTAAAGTGAACAATGCTTTTGCCATCTATAAAAAGTTCTAAATATGAAAGGCTGAAACTGTCAGTATGTTTTTATGGCTTTGAACTTCAACTCTCTCTCACTGGATCAGAGGCACAGTGTTGGGTGCACATGGTAGCCTAGACATTCTTCAGAGCTGGTTGTATAACTAGAAAAAAAACAATCAAATCAAATCCATATTGTCATTTGTATACAAAGAATCTTGAAGTGAATGAGATTAACAGAATTTATGCCACCTGGAAGGAAAAAAAAAAGTCTAACATAGGTTAATAGCTGGAATAACTTGGCTTCTCCAGTACCTGCTGGTATGTATAATCACATGCAATGTTTTCCCACATCTCTCAGCTAACTTCAAAAGTACTAAAATTATTATGTGGAATTAAGGATTCTATTGAGAATGTAAGGTACATAAACCGATGAATAGAGTACATGGAGTCAGTATGTGCATCTATATTCATTTTTTTTTTTATGTGGTCTTTCAGTTATTTAAGGAATATTGTACATTCCTTTACTGATATGAATTAAATGCAACTAAGCCTTTTTTAACATAACTTCATTAGGTTGAAAACTTCATTAAGTTTGCTCATACAGATATACTGATTGAATTACAACTCTTGATATTAATACTCAGTACACAAGTTGTTAACTACATATGAGTTTTGAAAGTGAGAGCCTCTTCCATAAGTAAATTCCTAAACTAACATTAGGATTGGTTACACTGACTATTATGAGGTTACCCAACACCTCGCATTATGAAATCTGGGTCTCAGTTTCCCTTTACTTTTCTACACGTGAATACTTTGAGACTGAAATGTACCAAGAAGGAAATTAAGAAAAATCATAGCTAAGATGGTTCAGCCATTTCTGAGAATGTTGTGAGAAAAACGTGTTTTCCCCATTTTAAATAATTCCTTGTGACATTTACTCCAAAGAGTGTATGCCCCTATGGTTTGGAACAAGCCCTAATTTGAACAAGTGCAGACTACATGCCAGGTGCATGCTCCCTTCCTTGTCTTTGAAAATCTGTCAAATTTTGGCCAAACTCTAAACCTTCAGAATGAAGTTGGGGGTGGAAAATAGCGCTTTGGCCACACACAGAAGGATCTTCTCTTTTAGTCACTAAATTGCCTAGAAATGTTTTTTCACTGACCATGCTCCAGTCCTAAACTAAGCAGTATTTTCCCTGGTATTGGAGGTCTTGGTTCATAGATTTCATAGACATTAGGGCTGGAATGGACCTCGGAAGATCATTGAGTCCAGCCCCCTGCCCCAGGGGGAGGAAGTCAGCTAGGGTCAAAGCATCGCGGCAAGATAAGTGCCCAAATGTTTCTTAAAAGAGTCCAGGGTAGGTGCTTGCACCATCTCTGGAGGGAGTCTATTCCAGGCCTTGGGGGCTCAGACAGTAAAGAAGTCTTGCCTATGTCCAGCCTAAAATGGTCTTGGAAGAGTTTGTGACCGTTGGTCCTCGTCATCCCTTGGGACACTCTGGTGAATAGGCGTTCCCTCAGATCCTGATGCACACCAACACTGATTGAGGATTGACAGACTCTGTTGCAACCTGGGCATGTGTTTCCATGCAGAGTGGGTGGCTTCCTCATTTGAGTACAACTCAACCTCACCTAGTTTCACCTTTTTACCTACAGATTTTCCCTTTAAAAAGTTCTGTTTTTATAGTGATCTTAACAGTCTTGCAGGCATTTGTTGAAAAGCACTGGTTTATTTAAATGTGTGAGGGTGTTGTGAAAGTAACTTCTCTCATTTTTCAGGACCCTGTCTTGTTTTCTGGAACCCTGCAGTCAAACTTGGATCCACTTGGAAAGCACTCTGATCTTGAGCTCTGGGAGGCACTGGAGTTGTGTGGCTTAAAGAATTTTGTCCAGTCTCTTCCAAAGAAGCTTCTTCATGAGGTTTCAGAAGGTGGTGAAAACCTCAGGTATCAGATCAAGTAATGCTATCTGAAGGAAGGACTTCAGCTCTTTTAAATCGTTTGATCTTCATTCTGCATGTTTTATTTCACATCATTCTAATATTTTCCCTGCCACAGAAATGTCCCCTGTTCCCCCATTTTAAACAAGATTACTGTAGCAATTGAAATTATTCTGTGGTCACCTAGCTAAATGGAAACAGGTCAGTATTCTCTGGACTGACTTAGAAAGGATGCTGAACTTTACATGATTTAGTGATTTCTTCTGGTCTTCAAAACAGATAAGTCTCTGCTGAAGTATATCAGAGATCAGTTAATAGCTCAGGAAGGGAACCAAAGCAAATAGCTGTATTTATAGGAGAAAGTAACAATGTAACAAGTCAGGAGTTGAGATGGAAGGGAAAAATGGGAGAAGGTAGGGAGTGTAGTGTAGGGATACTATGCTGTGATACACACTTTTTCTTCTACTACTGGTTTAGTGTAGAATAGCTATTTAGTTTTGCTTATATGCATTTTTAAATTCAAAGTTGTGTCAAGGTAACATTTTGTAGAGCAAATTGTTCTGAGGAAAACTACACCATAGCACTGTGTTAAAATCTAGGAAGCTTGTATAATCTGGTTACCTTGTTTGGGAAGAATTTAAAAACATGGAGGGGGGAAAGACATTTTTAAAAATATAGAACATAAGTGGAAAGTGTATTGAATAGCAACTTGGATTTTTAAGGTATAGGCTGGTTCAGATTGCAAGTGCCTTGTAGAAATTACAAAGACACCGTGTAGGTTCCTTAAAACTTCCTTAAGCAGCACTGACACTGCTGCAAGTAACAGGCAATTTCAAATTTGCCTCAGCATCTATACCAGGACATTAATACTGTAATAAGTATTAAAGCCAGGTTTACACTACAAAGTTGTGTCAGGATGACTGTGTGTTAGGAGTAGAAGAAAAGGAAATAAAAACAAAAATACCTCATATCCCTAATCAATGTAGCTCTGTTATGCTAGAATCTGTATGTGGGATTTTTGCTAATTTATCTCATTCAAGGATATGGTTTGACTATACTAGCAACGCCTTTGGAAATGTGTAGACTGGTGCTAAGGTAAGAAAGCAGAAACTGGATTCACCTGAAAAAATAGAACCAAACAGTCATCTTAAACAGACTGAGTGCATCTACATGAGCAATTAATGTGTTTGAATTTTCTGCACAGAAAATTCAGGCTTGTTAAAGCACTCCCTGACGCGTGTCTACACGTGCTTCCACTTTGGGAGCAAGTTGCACCCGACAGGGCCAGCCCAGTTCAGAGCAGCAGCCCAGCCAGTCGGGACACACTTATCTCTGGCACCAATCTGCTCTGCTCTGCTTGCGAGGCTCGCTGCCATGTGGAGGGGGATCCCTTTCCTCGAGCACTCCCGCAGCCATACAGTTCCTGAAGCCTCACCATGTTCCAAGCGCCCTGCTGCTGCCAGAGCTTGGATGCTGCCATGTTCCATGCTGCATTTCTACAAAGGGTATTTTTGTTCATGAGTTCAGGCCAGGGTGGGCCTTGCACCCTGTAGCATCCCCTAGAGAGGGGACTTGATCAAGCAGGCATCCCCTGGAGCAGCCTTGCAATGGCACTGGCAGTTAAGGTGAGACTAGAGGGGAGCAGGGAGAAGGCAGCTTTCCAAGTCACCCATGTTGAAAAGGATGGCTTTGGCAAGCAGGATTCACCTGTGTGGGAGCAGCTGTAGCTCTGCACTCCATGCAGATGGGAAGGAGCTTCCCTCAGAGCCGGGACAGCTCCCCCTGCCCTACTGGGGGCCGCCAGGGCTAAGCAGCTATTGTGGCCCCCTGTTTCCTGGGCTAACTGGGAACAATTTGTATTGGTGTTAGCAAACAATACATTAGACTTACCTAATGCACAGTAATTGCCATGCACATGTAGATGGTGACACTTTACTGCATATTATATTAGTCTAATGTGCAGTAAAGCATTTCCTGTAGAGCTACCCACTGAGAGCAGCTGGTTTGATTTGGTTTAACAATATGGGCTATTGTAGCTTTTCCTCTTTGAAAGCTCCTGATAGAGGAATTATACAGCATTTTTTGGGAGTGGGGGGACATACCAATACTTTTAGAAAACTATTGAAATAAGTCTTCCTCAAGTGTGTTTCTTCACAGTGTAGGGCAGAGGCAACTTGTCTGTCTTGCCCGCGCTTTGCTACGAAGGACAAAGATTCTGGTCTTAGATGAAGCAACAGCCTCTGTTGACCTGGAAACAGACCACCTGGTACAGTCCACCATCCAAAAGGAGTTTGACAGCTGTACAGTCCTAACTATAGCCCACAGGTTGCATACAATTGTGGATTCTGAAAGGCAAGTTTCAACATTGAGCTTTACAAAACCTGTAGTTGCTTCCTTTAGACATTGGCAGAGTTGGTAGGCATAAAAACTGACCTGGATTGATACCTTCACCAGTTACTCCCTTGGTCACCAACAGATGTTTGGCAGTGCCATAAAATATATATTGGTAATTAGTGCCATAAAATCTGTATTAATAATATTAGTAATAGTATACAAAGTAGTTAGAGCAATAACAACATTGAGAGTATAGTAACATTAAGAAAACTAATATAGTAGTTTTATATCAATCTCCCCATCTCTGTTTTAATTACTGAAGGAATATCAGTTTCCTGGTAGTTAGCTTTCGGAATAAGAAATCTGTTTAATTTGTCAAAATAAATGGTCTGCTCTGTTCAAACTCAAGACAGCAAAGTAAAATTCCTTTTTAGTATGGGAGTTCATAGCTTAATGACTAGCTGAGTCATGTACTGCAATGTTTCCTTGTAAAAGCTTTTACTTTTTACAAATTTCAGTTAATTACCATGCTCAGTAGGGCTGAGAAGTCTGGCTGGATGGCTCTTTCCACCCAATCACCTTTCTATTTTTTTGCATTGTAGAGTGCTTGTTCTCGACTCTGGAAGAATTGTAGAATTTGATACTCCCCATAACTTATTACGTCAGAAAGGAGTGTTTTCCGAAATGGTCACAGAAGCTGGGATAACGTATGATACGGATGCCTAGTGAAATACTCTCAAAAGACAAGGATGTGCATTTTTTTTCCTTAACTCTACTTACCAAGAAAACAGTCCGGGAGCGTGGCATATACTCTATCCTCAATGTTATAAAATGATTGTGCAATATAGGGGTAGTGGGCACGCTTGACAATACAAACTCCATGCTATAACTGCAATTTATTGTATATTCATCAGCTTTATTTATTAAGTACCACATTTTATTATGCATTTTTACTAGACCTAGATTATAATTATATTGTATGAAGATCCAAGCCTTAAATTTTGCTTTAGCAAGAGACCTGCTTGCTTGCCTTTCACATTAGTTAATACATACTTTGTAGTCCTAAGTTTGATTGAATCTTTTAATATATTTTAAATTATTTAGAAAAAACAGCACTGATTTAACTTGCATACTTGATTACAGATCAATTTGAGAATTGTACTCTGCTTATTTTAATCTGCGTGGGTATACGGTTTCAGACCTTTGCGTGACATTTTTTATTTTGTAAAATTACTTCTGAACACCCAAAATGTAATGGGCAAGTGAACTGATAAAATATTCCTTCTGACAACTAATTTACAATAGGACTTGGAAAAAGCTCATGGAATCCTGAAAAATGAAAATCCCTCTGGAGATATCCAGTTTATGTTTAAAACATGTTTATATAAGTCTATACTAGTAATAGTAGCAGTATGGCCAAGAAAATTACTAATGCTTATTCTTGTATGTATACCATCATGTATGTTTTGTTTGTTTGTTTTTGTTGCATTTCTTTGTGATTAAATAGGGTGAGTGGGTAAAGTGAGGAGAAGAGAGGTTCCATATTGAAGAGTAGACAAGAAAAAAAAACACAGAATGGCATACTGTACTAGCTCAAACTTCCATGCCTCATTTTTTCTCCCAAAAGATAGTTAGCTCCTCTCATAGGAGTGACACATTTCTCATCCACATTTGAGCATTTAAAACAGGATTTCTTCTGAAGTAGCATAACCCACCTACCTCACTGTGTCTGTAGAAGTACCTGCAAGCAGATGAAGTACTTCACTTGTTCAACACCAGAGCAGTCTGGACCAATCTGCATTCTTGAAAAGAAGTTAAGTAGTTCCCCCAGGAGCTACTGCTTTTATTGGCTTGCTTCTCAGCACCTAATTAAGGTCCCACCCTGCTTTATTACAGCAGGGGGTGACACCTGTGGAAGGTCAAGGAAGTGTTTATCTCCCTACCCTTTTGATAATCAAAGGGGTGTCTACATCTAATCATAGCAGGCACACTAGGCAAAGCCAAGAAGAGCAACCATCCCAGTCTTTGGAAATCCACCAGTAGAACAGCAGTTCTAGTCATGCCTAGCCAATTAGCAGCTTTACTAATGTATGAGGATGATTTTCTCTTTCAATTTCTCTGTCCACCTAACACAAAAGGATAAGAGTGAAAAAACTCTGCCATTCCCTCCTATTTTCTGTCTAACACACAGTATGCCAAAGTTGGTTGCCAAATAATAGTCCAATTCAAGCATGGAGGTTTTCTGTCTTTTTAAATAAATATTAATAAGTGAAGCTTGCAAACTATTAAATAGGGTAGGCCATGGTGGGGATTAATTGATTTGTAGCAGAGGTTAATCTGCTTAATGCTGAAGGCTTCCCCTTGTCTTTACTAATGCAAATTGTTCTCACCTTTTAAAACAGTTCTCATTTCTAAGTAGCTTGGTCAGCTGGCTAAGATCCCAAAATGTAGTTTTTAAAAAGCTTAATCCTGTGCAACAACCTAGGGTTTTGTGTGTAGACAATCAAGCTGTCTGAATGTTGTTAAGTCCTAAACTTACTTTGGAGATTGGCCAGCTTCACTGCTGGCATGAAGTGATCCAGCCTAGGACACCGACTTTGAATCTAGCCTTCTGACTTCTAGTAAGAATCCTACTTGTTTTCATCCGTTCACTATTTATGCGCTTGAGCCTAACAAAGAACGAAAGTGCTAAGGGCAGAAGGCTTTATGATCTTCTTCTGTGGTATTTCAAATAAATAAAAAAGCTTGCATTTAAAACATAGGCATTAGTGACTGTCCTTTTATATACTGCACACTTGCATTTGCCAATTCAGGGAAATTTACTTAGAGGGCTGTTAACAGTAATTGTACCTACAGAAGTTAGCCTCTGAAGAGGTAAGCTGCCTACTTTTCTCTTAGGTGGGGAAACATTCCCTTGAAAGTAGAAAGCTGATTTGCAAGAGTATGCTGAGAAATTAGATGGACAATATTACTTAAAAAATGAAAATGTATATTAGTTCACCATTTGTAAGTCTGCATATGTTTCAAAGCTAAGAACCATTTGTATGGAAATGACAAGGTAGACTGTCTTCTGTATTGACCCTTTCTAAGAAAGTACTACTTTTGTACTACTACTTTTAAGGCTTACTGCCTTAAAAATAATATCAGGTGATTGTTAACATTCCTTTTAGAAAAATAAAAACATTCTGAACACTTATGAAACTGGTTTCAGTCCTTTTGAATCGTCATTTGCAGTAAGGGAGATATCACTAAACAAGCACAAGCAACAGGGTGCAAAGATTTGGTTCAGACCTTGGGTGAAGAAGGCTAGGCAATCACAGAAAATGAACTAAATGATTTCCATAGATAAATCATTAACATTTTTTTAAATACAAGATTTCTACAGAAAATGAACTTTGTACCATTAGACTGATCCCCTTTATATGAGTCAATTCTAGGGTACAAGTGTTACATTTCCCCCATTGGACATAGTTCTATTGGTTGAATGGCTCCATGAACACATGTTCACAGCACTTAAATCATTTAAGAAACAAAAAAAAGGCCAATGCATTGGACAAGGTTGCAGTGTTAATTAACTGGGGTTCAAGTGTTTTGAGTGGATGCTTGCATGCAACCCCCATCACTTAGGGATGCTGGGGTGACCTGCAGCATACCAGCTTGCCCTGCTTCTGCCCATTCTCTCCCCCAGAAGAGATGCTCTTTGACTCCAGCTGCACGGTACTGCTGCAGCCCAAGTGACAGCAAGTCCCTCCCCTGACAGTTTTGGGGCTGAAAAAGCACAATCCCTTTCCACGGCCCAGAGGCTGTGGAATTGTCAGCCCTCCCCATCTTGAGCTGGTGTGGGGGAAGCCATCTATGCTATGCATGAGCATCCTTAATCCCTTCTGCTAATCTCCCCAGCAGGGCTCATCCCTGCTACTCACACAGACACTCCTACCTGCCCAGACCAGACATGGTTTAGCACCACTCCTGCCCAAACATAATTCAGCTCACTCCCATGGTCCCTGGAGATGCCTGCCTCCTCCTGCATAGGCATAGCCCTGCCCAGCCCACACCTGCAGACGCTTGCCCCCAGACCATCTGTCCCATGTTTCCTGCCCTCCCCTCCCTGCCCAAGATCCTAACTGAACCACTATCTCATGTCTGCAGAGGCATGGGGGTCTTAAATCCTGATGGAGCAGGATTGCCACGGATTTTGAACAGGAGTGGGTGA